CACATATAACAATTGCAAAGTAGTCCACTGAGACCTTGCCATTTCGCTTGCAGTACACTGGACTTATGGTAGGCCCCTGCCCATATGAAGAGAAAAGATATGAGATATTTGAACTAATTAGGTCTCATTTTTTTTCTCTACAAAGGGTGCATTTAGATAATAGTTGACATGCATTATAATGAAAATAATAACAATTATGTTGCAGAGGTTTAAAGAAAACAGAATAAATAATTATACAAGAATAACAGATAATGCCATACAGACTTGACAGGGAAAAGAAACCTTAAAACCATACTGAATTTTTTCCGGGTGACGTTAATTGTTCAGAGAAGACAAACTAAAGATAAAGAAACCTGTAGTTTCATTGGAGTTTTTGGCATCTATATGGTTCCAAGTGGGTTTCTGTTGAACAAAGGCATCAGGCTTGAGTCTAATCTCACATTAGAAAAGATTGCATAGACATCTAATTAAGGAGGTCAAAACTCATCATTGAAATGAGGTTGATTCTTTCGAGTCATTGTGGTTCCAAGCATACTACCCCAAGTCATTTCTATACATGAGTTGTTATAACTCAACAAGTGGTGCCGCAGCCCATGATTTGGTAGGCCTTTGGATGTTTGTGTCAATTTTTACATTTTGTTAGCATAGGTTAGAGCTCAAGGTGGACGGTGAGTAACTTGATCCACCACCGATGCTCTTGGGTCACATGGTATTGCTTTCCTCCACCATAAATGACTTTGATTGTCTACAAAGTATTCGGAAGTCATCTCCATTAGCCAACATGTTGGACAGGCTCAATTGTATTTTGAGCCAAGATTGAGTTTTTTTGGGATTTTAAAATATCCATTTGCTAGGCTTTCTGTTAAACAAGGGCAAAGCACTTGGGTTTTCCCATGTTGAGAACAAGGACAGATGGACATATGGTTAACAATATTTGAACTCACAATTCAAACAAGGTTAATCCTTTGATTTGATGTGTTCTCAAATAGATTAGAATAACCCATCTCCATTTGCCGCCCTTTACAACCCCAAAATGAGCCATTGAAAGTTCAAAGTTTACCCTACAAGGTTACAAATAAATTGTGTACCAAAAAGTTCAAAATATTAACAGGAAGTTTCTTCTCACTGTTAGAGAAAGATGGAGTGGTATAATATAAACCAACTTGCATGCTCAAGCCAATAAGTTACTGTAATCAGAAAAACTAAAATGGTTATGTTGATTACTGCAGGAATACAGCAAGATGAAAAGAACAAGGATTGACGATACTAGAGAGGAATAAACTGTGGCAAGGACATAATATATTCTAAAAGTAAATCCATGCACTAAGAAAATAAACATGTAACTCAAATCTCTTCTCAGAAATATATACCTGCAACCCGGTTAGTGATGGCTGGCTATGAATTCTTTCAGCCACTTCCTCTGCACTATTTCCCCTCATGTTTGCAGTCACCTTCATCTCAAAAGAAAATAATAAACAGATCAAAGGAAAAAGGTGAGTAAGAGATGGTGGTCAAGTATAGTTTAATTAATTAAAAAAATACCGTAAATTGTCCTGTTGCCCTCAAGTGTGCTTCTAGTCTTTCAAGAATCTCATGAGTTGCATCCAGTACACCTTTGCGTCGTATCAAGGATTTCTTGCTTGCAACAAGTACAGCCTACACAACTTACGAAACATCAGGAACTAAAACTTTTAACTTTAATGTTCAAATAAATATAGAATGTTGAAACTGAGGTTTGATAGAAATCAAGTATGACAGCTCCATTACGTCAAATAAGAACTTACTTGGCTGTCCAGCACAATCCCGCCTTCAATTTCCTTCAAATTATTCTCGCGTAATGTGGTCCCGCTACTCACAAGATCCAGAATACCATCGGCTATGCCCATCTGAGGCCATAAGAAAACCAATGTCAAAAAGTGATTAGACAATCATGTGTTTGGATTATAGAGTTAATTCAAGCTAAGACTGAATAAATGTTTAAACTGCCATAAGAGTGCTTCTCATTACTATTATGCATGCGAGGTATACATTGCTGGCTAACAACCTATCAGCTTGAAGTTTTTAAAAAAGTAGTTACATAACAGCTGTACTACTTAAACTACAATCTAAGGTTATGCAATTCGCAAAAAACCCTGTTAAAGTATAACATAGTTTATTAGGACACTAGATAGGCACACCTGAATTACAAATATTTTTACATTCCAAATAGCTGTGCAAATGATGTTCAGGGTAGACTGAAGCAACTTTGCACTATATTCCATAAGTATCCATCACCTATATTCTATTATCTATTACTATTATTCAAGAAAAGCCACACTTTTGGCTCTTTTCCTATGTTTGTCAAGTTTTCAAAAAATTCAACATATGTCCTCAAAATTTTATTGTACAATAAAACTAAGCAGAAGAACAAAATTGGAAAGATCTAAAAACACCATAACTACCACCCATTACTTGATAACACCCATTACTTGATAACTCCCTCAACAATTTATCGTACAATAAAACTAAGCAGAAGAACAAAATTGGAAAGATCTAAAAACACCATAACTACCACCCCTTACTTGATAACTCCCTCACTCACCACTTTTTTTTTTCTAATAGTAGGATACTTCATATCACTTTTGGTAATAATTTCTAAAAATCTCTTCATATTAATACTGATTATTAAGGTGTAAAATATTTTTTTATGCAAAAGCTTATTATGTAATGCATGCATTGCGTGCACCGAAGGATGTATAAATACACATAACAAAAATGCATAAAATCCCAAGAGAAATTCAAGTGATTAAAACAAATTTTAGAGAACTGCAGGTGTGAAGATTAGTATTATGTAGTGCATACCCTATAGTATTAACAGATGAGAGGGATAATTTCTAAAGTAGAAAAGTAAAGAAAAGCTCTTTAATCTAAAAGAGTTAGAATTAGTACAATAGAACATAACACATCAAAATTAGTTTTAGCAAAACTACGGAAAAGAGCATATAGCACACTACATGTTGATGACCAAGAAATAGCCAGGAGTAAATTGAGGAATCAATATAGATATCTAAAATCAATCAATGATTAAGATGGTGAAAGTAAGGAGGACGTAGTTCATTAAACTAAATCAAGATGGTTAAACTGGAGGAGTACTTATGAATTCCTATGCGATTGCAGAATACATATGAAATTGAAAGCAAAATTCTATGGGACAACGTATAAGATCAACAATGCTACAAATCAGACTGTTGCATGATTAAGAAACATGTCCAAAACATAAGCATAGAAAATTTAAGAATGTAACTTGGGAAGTGTGGATATACACAATAGATGACATAACAAAAAAATGCATTCATAATAAGTTAGAGATTTTGCTCATATTGAGGATAAAATGAGAGGTAATCAACTGAAATGGTTTGGCCATGTGCAGCTGAGCAAACTAAATACAACACCGAAAAGTGATAAGAAAATAGTTAACTGGCCAAGAATTAGAGGTAAGCCTGAGAAAAATTGGTTCGATGCGATTAAAAAGGATTGTAGCGCAAACGCAAAAACATTCGGATAAAAGCTTTGTTGTTGTTGTTTGAATGTTCTACCAAATATTTGAATGCACAATGGCAGAAGTTCTTCTGAGCCATGTAAAAAGCATGAAAGAAAATTCTAATGTCAAGCACATATAAGTGAACAACCTAGTAATATCTCCAAATTGGAAGTAGTAATTCATCAACCAGTGAAATACAATCATAGTCCTCGGTGATACAGTAAGGAAAGGACACAGAGAGAACTGAAATCCTTTAGAATGCATGAATGATAAAAGCTCTAACAGGAAAGGTAATAAATCAAAAACAGGCAAGAGAGGAGACAAGTTACTAATCGGCTACATATCTCTTCCTACAAGAAAAATGTCTACTAGTTTTTTTGCAAGATATACTAAGCAAAAATTCTTACAGCAGGTGCTGCCTCGAGTGCTCCATCAGCAGAAGAGAAGGTGACAAACTCCAGACCTTTTTCTTTCATAAATTTTGGACCAAGCTGTGATCAGAGAAATGTTAAGATTTCTTAAAATTTCTGTTGCTGCAAAAACATTAAGGATGTGGGAGTCACATACATAAGTAAAGCCAGTTGCAATTCTTAAAGGCCTCTCCTTTGTCCATTGAGGCATTTGCGCAAGATCATGCAGAGAGTTTATATTTTCAAAAATCCCGTACTTAGGAATCTAATAAATACACAAACATTTCAATTAGTAATTTGAAATTTTCAAAGTCCACAATGCTCCTTTCTGGAGTATGAGAGCTGGCAGTGTACTTACTGCAATAGACAGACGACAACCTCCATATTTAAGTGCATCATGTACAATAATCAAATCCTCATCGCCCTGCAGAAAAAAGATTCGAAGAATTCAAACACGAAAACCTGCATAATCTTTTGTAAAACAAAAGACAATTCGTATAGTTCTATACTAACTTTAGAGGGTTATATCTAAGATTGGGTTGCTATGCACGTAAGGTAATCTACCAATCCAAATGAAAGGTACCTGAGCAATCTCAAATTAGATTTCTGAAGGCATACAGCAGGGTGGAATCAATATGCATTAATGAGAATCTGATTATCAGATTTTGGCTCCAAGTCAAATTGATTGGACTAAACACAGGCATTGACTGCCATTCCCATATCAACTTGCACAAGGGGTAATGGTGCATCGCCAATGTACCCCAATGATATAATGGCCGAGGCTTTGCCCATGCAACCATGATATTGACCACTAAGTTCTCTTGAGAGTTGAGACTAACCAACTGTCCGCAAGTATGATACAGAGACCAAGTTGAAGGTCAATTTCTTCCAATAAGAAAACTCACTCCTCAAGGCAAAGTACATCAGTAGAATTGCCTCAGAACAAAACCTCATTTACGCAAGTGGTCAAGCAGGAAATGAAACCCCAGGTATAAGAAACAAATATATTTTGCTCAAATAACAATTTACTCAAAGCAGTTCCTCTGGTGAAAGATAAAGTATAGCTTCGAGGATCATGTTTAACAGTTCAAGAGAGCATGAGCTTTTTCTTTTCCTTTTTTTTTTAACTGACATTTAAGCATAGGAAAACATGGGGACAAAAGGCAAGAATCTTATATCTTAATTAATAGCTACAAGTCCAATTGCAAAAACTAATCAGATTAATTGTTCGAGGTCTTTCGGTAACCATAGAGACAAATTAAAAGTAACAGCAAGTGTTCTTCTTAGAAATAAAGGACAATGATCTGTCAGTTCATGTTCCTCCATGATATATAAGAATGGATGATGATGCTACTAAAGGGCGAGCTCAACAATATAGAGGCCAAACATGTTACATCCAAGCAGTTACCTGTCCATATTCACTGACAGTGTCAAGACCTACAATACCAAGGTCAAGGTCCCCTGACGATAATTTGCGAACTACATCTTTCGGCCTTTGAAACCAAACCTCCAAATTAGATAGCTACATGAAATCATTAAAAAAGTCAAATATTGTAGTGAATGAATAAAGCCCAGAAGCTGGAGTCATCTACGATAATAATGCATAGTTAAAAGTACATGCAAAATTGGCCATCACGTACATTGTCACACAATGGTCATAAGTGCCCACATGAAGCGATGGAAATTAGGACTATCTTAACCTACAGAAGTACCAATACTAACGTGAGAAAGTTTACATAACTGCCTAAACATCAAGAAAAAATAAGGCCCCTCCAAGTATCCAATATGATGTTAACTGAAAAGTGAATGACTTGAAGGCGAAGTCAAACATTCTACAAGTGATGCTATATGGCGTTTGCAATGAAGTAGAAAAACAGAAAACCTACTACTTTCAATAGTCAAAATCAAATACAAAATGAAGGTTTAATATGACATTAACAAAAAAAAAAAGAACTCAAAATGGACATTGAACATTCAACAAGCCACAGTATGTGGTATTGCAAGAAATTAGAAAAATGGATAACATGCTATGCGAAGAATCAATGTGATATACAAAATGAAAATATGAGTAGCAATATTATATAGTTTTAAGTTTAGTAATGCATTTAACCCCAGTCAAACAAGACAAGATGCAAGTAGTACGGAGAATTTAAGATGGATACGTGGTAAAACTTAAGATGTACATGGTGAGGACCAACAATTAAACGTATTAAGATAAGAGTTGTCAACTAAATACAAGGTGGAAAAATACCAACTAAGATGGCACTCACATGCAAAACCAAATGCTGAGGGAAGCTAGAGTGAAAACAGATACCGAAGTAGAGTTAAACAAGATTGTAGGGTTATGAAAGGGAAGAAATAGCCCCTAACACAACAAAGACCATCATGTGATTCTGTATGCTAAGCTTGCAAGCTTATGCAATAGCACGGAGAAGAACAACGGATCAAAATTAAGAGCCACAACTTGAGATTTATCTCGTGGCAACATTTCTTGATGCATTGTTTTTGTGTTAAAGAGTGAAAATCAGAAAGAAAAAAAGAGACATTTTGATCTACAGACAAAAAGGCAACTGTTATTGATACGGGTGTATCTTCTCTTCGGAACTTAGCGATCCTCATAGGAGCTTGTGGATAGATGATTCTCATGATAGCATGAGAATAGAGGTGTAAAACAACACAGTGAAACGCAGGTTGAAGAGTGGAACAAGACGACGAATCGAAGAATCGAAGCATCCAGTTTTCAGCCTGTGAGTGGACTCATACATGTACATGAGTCGACTCATCAGGTTGAGTCGACTCATGTCTGTCATGAGTCGACTCACGAAACCCAACCGTTTTATTAAAAGTTTCTGACGAGTCGACTCACCTCATCATAAGTCGACTCACTTGGCATAAGTCGATTCATGCATGTTTATGAGTCGACTCATCGACGGTTTCCTGGTTCGTTTGGGTTTCTGTTTTCACGAATTCTTGTGGGGTTTGGGCTTGGTTATTTACCACTTTGCCACCCACGTTATTACACTTATAAAAGGGGTAGTTTAGGGTTTCTAATCAATTAGATGTAATCAAAGAGAGATTCTAATCAAGAGAGATTAGGGTTTAGAGAGAATTAAGAGTTTATTCTCGATTCTAGTGAGATTGTGAGAGAGGGATTGTAATCTTTTTATACTCATAATCTATAGAGGGTATTTTTCTTTGCCATATACTGAATTATTCTTGTGTTTCTGTCATCCTCTTCTCAACCCACCTTTGATAATTCTGTGATCAAAGATGCTCGCACGACGACTCGTACAAAGTTGGTATCAGAACGATCAAATCCTGTGAAGGAGGCATCCTGTGTATGATCCTGACTTGATCACAATACAAGAAGCTAGACGAGATCCTTATTTCATTAGAAGGAGTACAGAAATTAAGGAAGAAGAAGATGACTGAAGGAGATAGTTCAGCGAGGCTAAATGCATTGGAGAAACAGATGGAGACAATGAGTTCGACTCTCACATAGCTCGTCAATATCTTCCAAGAAAATGACAAAAAGGAGGAATCTTCTTCGAAAGGCAAGAAGAAACTTATGAAATCCGATGGAAAAGGCGAGGAATCTGATTCTGATAGGGACGTCGATATTGTCAAAACTGTTCCGCATCAAGGGGGTAAGGATTCTTACCAGAATTTGAAGATAGATTTCAAGGTAGAGATTCCTGTTTATGATAGGAGTGTCAACGTCGAGAGGTTTGATGATTGGATCGAGCGGATGAAGACGTATTTTACCCTCTACGGATATTCATCCAAGGAGAAGCTTGTGTTCGCGATTTTGAAGCTTTTGGGGTATGCATTGACATGGTGAAAATCCTATTGCAAGCAGGAACGAAAGGCGGTATCGTAAAACAAATTCAAGGAGCTACTGAGGAAGCAGTTCTATCCAGTAAGGTTCCTTGAGGAGCGTTGGTATAAGTGGTACGGATTACGCCAAAGGTTCAACCAGACCGTTCAAGAATATACGACGGAGTTCCAGCAGTAGACGATGGTTCTTAACATCGCGACGGAAGAATATTCCATCTTTATGAAGTATATGACGGGTCTAAATGAATATATCCGAAAGGAGATGAAGTTGTTCACAGTCGAGTCCATGACAGAAGCGAGTGTGAAGGCCATTGCCATTGAGGACAGGCAAAAGAAGGACAACAAAACGAAGAGAGACTCCAAACAAACGGGAGGCAAATCTAGTGACTCTCAGCCTAAGGAAGAGAAGAAGAAGGGTGATTCGGGGAAGGTGGGATTGACATGCAATCACTGTAAACAGACAGGACACGTAGCTGATCATTGCTGGGAGAAGTATCCTCATCTGAAGCCAAAAGGATTGAAGAAAAAGGAGAAGAAGAAGGCATATGTAGTAGCTCAGGGTCCGAAGGAAGTTCCCAGGATGACAAAACCCAATAGCGATCTTAACCTTATGGCGGAAAAGCAGACCACGACTGAGGACGAAGACTCGAGCGAGCAGCTCTTTGTTTTAAAATTACAGGTCAAGACCAGCTTGGTTGATGCCATAGTGGATCCAGGGAACTAGAAAAATTTGATATCTGAGGTATTGGTTCAGAAGCTGAGATTGAAGACGGTTAAACATCCGAAACTCTATCCTTTAGGATGGATTCAGAAGGAGACGGGATTAAGTGTGGTCAACCAATGCACTTTCAGATTTGCACTCCACGAGTCGTATATTGACGAGGTCACATGCGACGTCAACCAATGCACTTTCAGATTTGCACTCCACGAGTCGTATATTGACGAGGTCACATGCGACGTCGTTCCGTTGGATGTTTGCCAAGTAATACTGAGTCGTATATTGACGAGGTCACATGCGACGTCGTTCCGTTGGATGTTTGCCAAGTAATACTGAGCAATCCTTATTTATGGGATAGGTTTGCGATCTACGATAGGCGAGCCCAGATGTATACGTTCACCAAAGATGGCGAGCAATTCATATTTCGTTAGACGTCTCTTCTGAGGGAGGCAAACTTGGCGACGATGACGCGAGCGAAGAGGCTAGTGAATACAAGCAAGAAGTTCATCTCGCTGTGCATTAGACTTCATGACGAGCCATCGAAAAGGAGTTGCATGTTCGAGCGGAAGACGACTACGATGAGGTGAGAAACGAATGAGTCGTTTCTAGTTGTACGTCGATATCAGGTTCCTAGCAAAGCCAGGTGGTACAGAAAGGATGGAGGAGCTCGCGAGTTTCCTCAGTTGAAGTTCTAACTTGAATGAGACTTCAAGTTTCTAAAGGGGGGACTCATGATATGGGTTATTTTCTCTTCGGAACTTAGCGATCCTCATGAGAGCTTGAGGATAGATGATTCTCATGATAGCATGAGAATAGAGGTGTAAAACAACACAGTAGAACGCAGGTTGAAGCGTGAAACGAGACGGTGAATCGAAAAATCGAAACATCCAGTTTTTAGCCCGTGAGTCGACTCATATATGTACATGAATCGACTCATCAGGTTGAGTAGACTCATGCCTGTCATGAGTCGACTCACGAAACCCAGTCGTTTTATCGAAAGTTTCTGATGAGTCGACTCACCTCATCATGAGTCGACTCACTTGGCATGAGTCGACTCATGCATGTTTATGAGTCGACTCATCGACGATTTCCTGATTCGTTTGGGTTTCTGTTTGTACGAATTCTTATGGGGTTTGGGCTTGGTTATTTACCACTTTGTCACCCACGTTGTTACACCTATAAAAAGGTTTGTTTATGGTTTCTAATCAATCAGATGTAATCAAAGAGAGATTCTAATCAAGAGAGATTAGGGTTTAGAGAGAATTAAGAGTTTGTTCTCGATTCTAGTGAGATTGTGCGAGAGGGATTGTAATCTTTTCATACTCATAATCTAGAGAGGGTATTTTCCTTCGTCACATACTGAATTATTCTTGTGTTTCTGTCATCCTCTTCTCCACGTTGTTACAGCTATAAAAGAGGTGGTTTAGGGTTTCTAATCAATTAGATGTAATCAAAGAGAGATTCTAATCAAGAGAGATTAGGGTTTAGAGAGAATTGAGAGTTTGTTCTTGATTCTAGTGAGATTGTGAGAGGGATTGTAATCTTTTCATACTCATAATCTAGAGAGGATATTTTCCTTCGCCACATACTGAATTATTCTTGTGTTTCTGTCATCCTCTTCTCAACCCACCTTTGATAATTCCGTGATCAAAGGTGCTCGCACGGCGACTCGTATCAGTTATTACTTTATGGGTGTGTCTAATGTTGGGGATTCATAGGCTCAGTTGAAACTTGACCTGATGGGCACCTGGTCCAATTCTGAAACGTACATTTTATAACACATAGTTTCTTCTTTATTTTTCTCCAATGAACGGAAACTCACATAGAAAAATTCATAAAGGCAATGCATTCAGGCAGAGACCTATACCTCCTTCCATTAGAAGAATAGTGCAAAAATGGGCAGCATGCATAAATCAATACTTCATTCTTATTATCTTAGTTTCGAACAGGAATACTATAGGGTATATGTATTTAATCTTTCAGTTAACCAGGTGGACAATAATAATAACAACTTTTCTGAATCAAGTCCGAGAACACAATAACCACGGGTAATTAAAATTGAAAAATCATGAAGCAATTTCATCATTAGGCACATTGAAAATGTACAAAACTACATTTCCAGTCCAAAATTAAAAATAAAATAATACCTGCGGGATGTCAGCAACGTACTGCCTTGGGTTCACCTGCCTCACCGTCAGCTGGCAATTCTATTCACCATGAAACCAAACTAAGTAATCAAAATAGAGTTTAAAAGAGAAATAAAAAGAGGTGATCAATGCTACAATTAATAGTATACAATGTGCGGATACGATCAGTCCATATCTAAAATTTTGATTCCCAAATTGAAAACCGATATCGTTTGATTCCCAAATTGAAAATCGATATTGTTGGATGTAATGTACAAATTTCCAAGGATTTCAATGCCTTTTAAATCATGCATCAAGGGGCAAGAAATTAGGACCATTTTCACACTAGTCCCTTAAATGCTTAATACCTTGAAATTAGCCCCTCAAATCATGGGAATTACTATCAAGTGCCTCATTTCTTATACCTCGCTACTGCACCTATTGATTGGAGGATTGATTTGAAACAACTTACCATTAGCAATTTGACAATTTCAATGTTTTCTGGGACTAATTCTGAAACAATTTATAAGAATTGGAGGACTGATAACAACTTCAATGGTTGAGCGACTAATTTCAGAATACTAAAGATGTAAGGGATTAATATCGGAAGACCACAAAAAAAAATTGAGCAGATTTGTGAAAATTCTTATAGCTTGATTTTGACAGCATATGATGCACGAGCACATCATATCTAACCGTACGAATTGTCAATCCTGTTATCCAGAACTTAGACTTAGATTAATAGTAGGCGGAGATCGCCGGAGACGGGGGTTGGAGGTGGACGAATGAAGTGATTTCCAAAAAAGCCACCATTTTTGAGGAGATGAGGTTTACGAAAGATAAAAGATTGGATCTTTTTTGCTGCCCCTCTCCCTGGCTGCTGCGAGCAGAAGCAGTAGAAACCCACCGTCACGTGGATGCTGGGGTTTATTCCTTTTCGGGAGATTGGTTCGGGTGTGAGTGGGCAGGTGATTTCTGCTGATTCGACCCGATTTGGATTGTTAAGTTAAATCAAAAAAAATTTTGTAAATGGGGGTGAAACTTACTTAAATTTGCTAAGGTTTTATTTCACCTTTCTTCCTTCAACTTCCTTTTCTTTTCTTATTTATTTATTTATTTTAGAATCATCGTGAGCATGTGACATTTTGGGCACCACACTCAATCCAAAGCAATTCTAAGTTTGATCCAATCATTTTATTGCCTCCGCTTGAACTACAAGCCCTCGTTATCAAGTTTATGTAATTTTGCTAGGTTTAAACTATTATAACTTATAAGGGTATATAAAATAAATAAACTAAATCTATAGATAAGGTGGCGGTTCAAGTCATGCCATAGATAGGTTTAGAATGAGCAAACTGTTAGCTCGTTTTGATTACTTTTTTACCAAATTGAATCTTTCTAGAATAGGAACCAATCCCAATTTTGGTTAGGTCTAACTTCTAAGTTGTTTTAGCCTAAAAGGATGAATGGGTTTTGATTTTTTTTCCCTAAAAATAGAGATCCTCTATAATTAGATGCTAATTGGACAAGGTCCAATCCTTTCAATTCTTACTATTTATCTCAATACTAATAAAAGAGATCGCGCCGCCTATGATTTCCACTATCACAAATAGTAGTTTTGACTATAGTGGTTTTTAAATATTATTAATAGTTTTCAAAACTAAAGTGGTTTTCAAAATAACAATAAAAATCTTACAGGACATGATATTATCTGTTGGAAATGATATAGTCAGTAAGAACTAGGAGAATTGAACCATCTCCAATTACCACCTAATTAGAGAGAATCAGTATTCTTTTTCTATTTAGGTGATAACTAGAGAGGGTCCAATTGCTTAAATCGTAGTCGTCTATTCAAATTTCGAGGCATATGATGTGACCATTTAAGATTTTTATTGTTTACAAAATTAGTTTTCAAGGCAACAATGGTTTTCCTAAATAATAGTTGAGTCCTATATTTTCACATCTTAGCCCTCAAAACTTGAATAAACGGCTATGATTTGAGTAGTTAGACCGTCTCCAATTACGACATAATTGAAGAGGATTCGCATTTAAATCGGTTATGATTCAAGAAATGAATGGAAATAAAGACGCGGGTTGAGGAATCGTCTAGAGAACAATCAATCAACTGAAATAATAAAAAATTATGGGGAAAAGAGAAGAAAATTGATCAATCAAAAAAATAGAAATAAATAAATAAATAAATGATGCGGGTTGTAGAGAACTCATTTCGCTTTAAATCTTTCTCAAACTGAAACAACCCGAGCATATTTGTGTGAATGTGGGGGCCACCACATGAATGAAGCAGACAAAAACAACCGCGTGAAAGAAGGTTGTGCAAATCTCGTAGGGGCCACAAGAGTGTGAACGCGGACTCGTTTTGAATTGGGAGGCAAGGACGTGTGGGGGTCACACCACGTGAGGAGTTGAGGTGTTCTTTTCTTTGCGATTTCTGACCCACCCGAAGACTTGAGCACATATAAATATTTGGTGCAGTTCTCTCCTAGGTTTTGGTGCAAGAGCAGGTTTGCTTTGTGGAAGTACGACGCAGGTGCAAGAGCAGAAGTGCAAAAGAAAATTGCAGAAACAGAGGCGGTTGCAGAGAGCAGGTGCGCAGGAGAAGAAGAAAAGTGCGGCTGCGGGAGAAAAAAGTCAACGGTTTTCTTTGGCTTCGTGCAAATAGGCTTTTATGCTTTTGAGAGAGATATTTGTATGAGGGATCTGAGAGTTTGTGTGAGGGTTTAGATTGAGTGATTGTAAACCCTAGTTGTAATCTCACCCTCTAATAGTAGATCTCCCCCCTCCTTGCCCCGTGGACGTAGGCAATTTGTCGAACCACGTAAAATAGTTTGTCTTGCCGTGATTTGTATAGCCTGTAGGTTCCATCGACAAGTCAGTCCTAGATCTAATGAGAGGAAGAGCTGATATCTCACTCTGTTGAATTATTTTGCTTTCGGTTCTTGTTTCCTTTGAGAAATAAGAATTTTCGTTGTGATCTAAACTCTTGTTGTGCACCTTGCGCACCGGAGATGCTGCCAAAATTTTCACTCCGCACAACAATTTGAAAACTAACAGAATATCGAGATCTATAGGTTCACTCGATTGCGTATAAGATCTTGCATATCACGCATGTTTAATTCTAATTGGCTTTGTAGATTTTGAAAGTACATATACATGGGGTTGCGTACTCTCCCTAGCTACATCAGTTTTTCTAATTTTGACTATTACAGGGATTTTTTTATTTGGCGCATCCACGGGTATCACAACTGCAATGACATACAATTGGAGTACTTTAAAGGCTAAATGGCACTTGAATACGTTATTATTTTATCACAATTACATTTAAATATTCTAAGTTGTAAAAAGTTATACTTCGATGCCCCACATTGTAAAAACATGTCATTTTAATACCTTAAGTTGTAAGAATTTGACACCTAAATATCCTATTGTTTGACCAGCCTTACACTTAATATTCTAATTCTAAGTTATAAAAAGTAGCACTTTAATACTCTAAATTATAAGAAAGTGACACTTTAATACCCTAAGTTGTAAGAAAGTAGCACTTTAATGCCTTATATTAGTTGTCAAGATATATTCCTAGGAATATTTCCATGGCAACAACCAAAAGGTATTAATGTGACAATTTTTTATAACTTAGGGTATTAAAGTGCTACTTTTTACAACTTAGAATGTTTAAGTATAAAGGCGGTGAAACAATAAAGTATTTAAGTGTGTATTTTAAACCAGTTTTCTACTGCAATTAATAAATACGGTTGCATTCTTTTAAAACCATAAATGGAGTGCAAACTACTACTCAATTACAACTCAATCCCCAATAGAAAGAGCTTTGCTACAGGGACCCAAAATATGGGACCAATAAAGGGGACAAGTGAGGTGTCCCCCTCCTATTGGATAATGAGTTGGTCATCATTAATGATGTCCAACTCATTATCCAATAGGAGGGGAACACCTCACTTGTCTTCTTTATTGATCCCATATTTTGGGTCCTTAAAGAATTTTTCCAATAGAAACTCGAACTTTGAGATAAAAAACCAAGGCACGAGCTACAGCTAGAATTAGCATAATTTTAAGACGTCCGAACAATTAATTCTTTTGCAAGCAACACAGGCACAATGGCTAGTGCAAGTGATACGTGCGTTGTGATTACTTTCATTTTTCTTAATAACTTCCTCTCTTCAAATGTATATATGGGTATCATGTATCGTGCTACATAAGGAGAACAAAAATAACTTGAGGAACTAACCCCGTATTGTACTGAAGTGGATTTACATAAAATCCACAATAATACTAGTTTTCCAGATCCTGACGGATTTAATTATTAACAGTGATTCCAGCTAAAATTCAAGCATTCAACTAATGATGATTCATAAATCAAAGCACCAGGGGCTCATTAAATCACTATATACAAATCAACCTCAAGAACAATACCAACTCAAAAGAGTGGACAATGTTGAGAGCAGCAAATCAGCAGAAAGCAAAAACAACAACGTTGATCTAACGTCTGCTAATGTTGGATATATAAAAAGAGCGAGCAAGAGACGATAATTTACACGTATAGTTCCTGTCAAAGAACACAATGAATTCTTAAGAAGACATGTACAAATTCGACACATCGAACAAGCAAAACCTGTCAATACACAGTAATTCAACAATAAGAACGAAAAACTAATGAACATCAACAGGAAGAAAAAACACAGCTATGGATTTAACTAGGTTCCCTAGGACCGCTAAAAAAAAGGAAGAACAAGAACAAGAGACAAATGTTTTGCAAAACAATGTCCAAAACAAGCTCCCTTCTTTGATACATAACAAGCTAAGTGAAAAATACACAACTAGAAATTGCTAATCTAACCGTCATTCCAGCTAGATTTTCAGACCATGACGATGTTAGATATAGGTGCCCTACAGGCAATAATTGTATATTGTAACAGGACCTATATAAATATAACATCCTTGTTCAAAATAATAGTATGCTATTTTGGTCAGATTTATCTGGTATTTTAATACAGATAAAGTCCTTAGAACGATACTAGACTATCAGACATTTCAGATATGATCGTAATGAAGAGATCTGATTTGTCGCTAACGTATATTCTAAAATGTTCCTAGTCGATGAAGTGTTAAAATGTGACATCATCACTTTGGGAAGACTAGTGTATACTCTATTTCTCCTTTGGTAGGATGATGATTCATCTCTTGGATCATTGATGTGAGACATCAAGATATAGTATACAAGTGACTCATTAGTGAATGAGTTGACTGAATGACTCACTGAGAACGTCTAGTTGGTAATTATACTTAATTGTCAAATAGAAGTTCTCAAGTGATATAGTACAAAGTAGTCTCTTGACCTGAGTCATGAGTGCAATATCTTACATGTCAGTATAGGTGTACTTAGACTTTTACCTAACCACAGTTCTCATTGAGTTATGCATAACAGTTCTTGTTGGGTGCATTCCAAGACATAAGTATATATTGAGATGCCAAGATGGGAT